TGTTGGGTGCATAGGAATTCAATAGAGATAGGTGTATGGCTAAGATAGGACATGTCATTCCTTGTACGCTAAAGGAGTTATCACATTACGCTTTGATAAGTGTCTACTCAAGAAATCTATAGCCATATTAGGAGTACAACAATAGAGCATAATTAGTCTACTCTAAGAGCTAAGATAATTAGGAATCGAAGAAAACTTATGTGATCATAACCGAACAAGACTAATAACCAAGTTTGAGATCACACTTTGATAAATTGACATGAGGACTAAATCGTATAGTAACCATGCTCATGAAAGGTAATAACGGATTAACTAATCCTCCTAGATAATTGGGTAGTCATGATGCCTTGCTAGAGGCCAATCTTGATTTATATGTCAAGAGATAAAAGAGGATTCTTTTATTCTTGATACATTGCTAACATATCTAGGAGCCTATTGAGTCACACGCATAAGTTTAAGTATTCACATTATAAATGAGAAGCAAAAATATTTAAAAAAAGTTTCTAATTATAAAAGGTTTCCTATTTTGGAAAGAGTTTCCAAAATGGAAAGTTTCCTATTTTAGAAATTGGTTTTCTAATTTGGAAGTTAGTTTCAAATTTTGAAATAAAGAACCTAAAAGGAAAGAAGTTTCCTACTCCTACTTTAGGTTAAAGGGTATTTTGAGAAATTATTTTCTAATATGGACCCCGCCAAAATAATCTAAGAATATTTATTTGGATAGTCCAAATGAATTAATTAGGCTAAAATAGTTTTGGCCCATTAGATTTAATTAAAAGCTTAAAGATAATTTTGGTGGGAGGATAAACATCAATCTTATTGGATAAGGTTGAATGTTTTAAAGATAAACATCAATCTTATTGGATAAAGTTGAATGTTTTAAAGATAATAATCAAATAGTCCACATATAACTCCTTATCCTTGGAGGATAAGGAAGCAACAACCTAGAGTCTTTTATGGACTCATAGTCACCTCTCTTCTTATCCTTGGAGGACAAGGAAACTCTCTCTATATATGAGGAGCATAAAGGCTAATGCAAGAAAGGATATTCGGCCAACATAAAGAAAAAGGGGAGAGAAAATTCAGCCAAGCATAAAAATTACCTAGTGGCATATAGCCAAGAGAGAAAATAAAGGATAAAATATTTTTCTCCTAAACCCTAGAAAAAATATTCTTTTTCTCTCTTTTAACGTTGTTACAAAATTGCCCGGGATTAATTTTTAGAGGAAATACAAAATCGAAAAAGGTGGAACTAGCACCCCACTAATTTTAAGTGCTTCTTTATGGATACTTGGACCGCATGGATCAACGAGAGGCAAGACACTTGGACTGGCTTTGTTAAAAACAAATTTAGATCTGCACTATAAGAGGTAATCCTTTAACTTATAGCTTATTATTCATGTGTGTATGGTTAGTAGATTCAATGGCTTAATCTTGGGGCCTTAGATGGAGAAATTTTTTTTGTTTATTTCGCACCTTCATAGATGCACGATCCTTCATCAACTAGGTACTAAAACCTAGGTATCTTCTAAATGGTCATCAATATACCTTCGTATATATCTTAATTATATATATCATTATACAATAATGTATACTAGAGAGAGTATGGTTACCAACTACCTATCAAATCTTATACCAAATCCCATCGACCTATTAGCCATTTATCTCTTTTCATAATTATATGGCCATATCATTAGATATAAAAGGCACCATTACTATATTATGAAATCAGCTCACTTGACCATGTCAAACCATCCTATAAACACTCATTACCAATTGGGATTATATCAATGCATAAAGGTCATGGTGTTAAATCATATCAATTAGAAGATATAATAGTTTATGGGTTATTGATGGTATAACCACTTTATTAGATATAAATCTCAATTGGATATTAATAGGCTAATCGATGACGACTCCTATACGGTATTAAGCATTGTTAATCCAATAGTCTAATGGTGTATTGGGATATCCCAATAGCCTATATCTCATATAATTCACGTATAATGAGGTAGATAGGATACCTATTGGTGATTATGGTAATAGACCATAATTAATACACTTGGAAACAACTATATAGATTATGGCCCAACTAAGTAATTATGAACAATGTGTACTACATAAAAGGGACCCTTATATAGAAGTAGGGATTTACATAAGTCCCTTTATTATTAGGGGTTCAGATCCTAGTTATAATCAATAATGTTTACTATTATTCATGGGGCCATATATAATACTATTTAGAATGACCAATTAATTGAGAGGTGACTAATAAATGATACGGATATTTTTATCGATATTTTTACCAATATTTTAACCAAGTATACTCCAATAGAATAAGGGTAATATCATTAAAGGGTTCCTTATCTTGGTCTATTAAATTATAATAAGTTTATATGAGTACACTAGTATATTTGATATAATCCCATTATTAGGTGATATACCCCTTAGTGGAGTTGACCTTTCTATAATGAAAGGATTGAGTGATCTATGTGATAATAACCAAGTTAAAAAAAGTGACATGAGACCCCTCAGCTCGATATTATAGCCTCGGGCCTTGAGTTATAGAAAGGTCCTATTAATGGGATAAAAGGTTAATAATTAAGCATTATATAAAATAACTATTTATGTAGGGTATTTACCAGATATTAGGAATCCTAATGATTATTGAGGACATATATCTGGTAGATTATTTGTACTAATATGGTATAAATATCATAGTTATCCTAAGTCTTTTTCCCTAAATATAGGGTTTAGTAAGGCTTATCGGGTAAGAGAGTATCCTTACTAGGGGTCATAATTGTTAAAACATAACTCATTTGGTCTATAGGATGGTTATCCGAGATATAAACCTATTCTCTGTAGGATTTAGTAATCCTAGTAATTTTGATTGATCTATAGGATCGGTTATCTAGGAAATAAAATGTCAGCTTGGTCTCATTTAGTAATCTCTATATTTTACCAGTTATGGGTCCGTAGTAATCAATTGACATTATGTACTCACTATAAATTTACCTATATGTTAATAGATGGAATGAACCTCCTAGAGGGTACTATCTCATAATATTAGTTACCCCAATGTCAGTTAATTATCCTATGAATAGTATATTCTCCAATGGGGATATGAATGACCTATATTGGTAAGGGACCTTATTAGCATTAGCTTAAAAGGTATATACCACTAACTAGGTATAACAAAATAACTTAACTAGTAATTATGTATAGTTCCCTAAGTTTAATATAGATAATATACTAGTATTTTTATTTATTACCAGATATAAACTTAAATCGAGGTATTAGTAGAGAAGATAGTCAAAATTGGGTCAACCTAATTAGAATAATAGGTCTATGATTATATGAGGTAACATATAAAATATAGATATATCACATCCTAGAATAATATGGATATAAATATGGGAGAATAAACTTAGCATATTTATCCCTAGTATACTTGGAGTAACCATATGATTACCATATGTTTATATAGTCACCATAAATAGTCCATTATTTACATATAATAGATTATATTAATATTATATAAATAATACTAGGGTATTTCCCAAATATCATAGTTGATAACCTAATTATCAGTACTTGGTCATGATAATGATATAAGAGGCTTAAAAATAGATGCACACATTATGATAAATAATGACTAAGAAGACTCATGTGTTTATAATATTGAGAGATTATAGTTAATGATAATACTCCCCATCTTACCTAAGTATACTCATTATAGGTTATCAACCACCTTTAATCTAACATTGTTTAACTAAGGTACCTAACACCATGACCTTATAGTGATTAACCATTATAATGTATTATAGTCCCAAAAGGATTGTGAATATATTGAGAGGGCATTGTATAATACCAATGATGATATCCCCTATTCAATTATAAATACTTTGACTATTTAACTAGTCCTTATATGACTTGGTGATAACCTGGCTAGGTTGAGAATATGTTACTCCTTATAATTAGACTATATTTTAGATTATATATAGAAATATTATGGGTATCAGTCCCACTAAGTGATTACTTGTGTAATATTCACTAACATTTAGTGTAAATAAGGTCATGGTTACTAATTATTAGCACTACCCTAATATATTCTCTTCATAACTCTATTAGTATGACCACTATTACAAAAAAATACCCTATACCTAGTTACACTATGTCTCCTAACTCTCAATAATCCCTATCATTTATTGAGAAATTGTCCACAGTAAGGCCAAAATAATAACCAAATAATTTCAATTATCTTAAACTTGATAACATTTATTCAAAAAATATATGATAACTATGTATTATAAATTAAACTATTATACATATTAATACAAAATCTTTTTTGGGTAATTTAACATGATATGGAGTAGGCCAAATAACCTTAGGGTTACCTCAAGTAACTAGAGACTACTTATAATAAGTCTCAATAGGATGCTTACCATCAAGGCAAATCAGTTCCCAAATGGATTTGACTATTAGGCTATGCCATATGGTAATATTCCCCATCAAAATTTACTTTCCATCTAGTTAGTAATTACCTCAAATTATGATATTTTAGCCCTAAGTATAATTGATATATTCACTATAGTAAATAGGAAGGTAGTTAATTAATAGTCCACTAAATTAGTTTGGCTCAATGATTTATACCTACTAATATATTAACCCATCAAATTGTTCATAGGAGTATGTTATCCTTAATGAAATTAGGAAGGTAGTTATCCTACACAATCTATCCCTATTAGGTATTCCTTCCGTTATGGTATTAACTATATTGGTGAACCAGGTTATAGATTATTGATTACTGTGATCCAATATCTCATAGTAATATTGGAATGGAGGGTTGATCAAAATTAATAACCTTTTTCTATTCATAGGGAAATTTATATAGGTATATCCGACTATAATATCTATATATATTTCATAGAGTTTAATTATACCATTCTAGTAATTTTCCATACTAGTCCATAATATACTAAAAGTATGTAGGGATTAACCCTCTTCTCATGCTTATGGATTCAATTCGATCACTCTTGTTATTAATCATGAGGGTCACCGCTCTATTGAAGGTGTTCACTACTATGTTGGCATTTGTAATAGATTCATATAATAGGTATTAATGACCCAATACTATACCTTATTCTTAATGAGAGAGGGTAATCTAATTAATTTGGTCAGGATGTTCCTTTATGCTTGTACGTATCATTTGATTATTAGTAGGGACTAGAGAATAACTAGGGTCTTTCTACCTTTTTCTAATAGTGGGTTAATATATCATTGGGCTAATGAATAAGGATAATGTAAGAGGATATGACTAATCATTAATAAAGAATATATGATACCTCTTAATGAATATGAGCTAACTCTTATCCCGAATAAAAATATAGATATCTTAAGCTACTGTTTAGTAAAGGGTAAATATAGACCAATATATAGGGGTACCCTCTGTTATCCTATTTGACCTAAATAGGATACTCGAATTAATATTTATTCCATTAAATATTTATTATTTCAATATATATTATATTGAGTATCAACGTAGTTAAGAGTTATGATAGGGATATACTATAGGCTATTTATGATTATCTAATGAACCTTTACTTTGATTATTAGGATAAAAATGGCCTATGTTGATCATTGATTTAAATATTGATAATATCCATGATGTATTAAGGATAATCTTAATTAGTATTTAAGGTAAAGCTATCCCCCCTCTATTGGAAGGATAATATTAATTATTCTTAACCTATATTCATATAGAGTAATGGCCTAATATTCTTAACGATATTATTCTTCAACTATATCGAGGTAGGCTAGTGCCCGGTAGTTAACCTATTTAGATTTATTGTTATTAATTAATATCTATATATATCACCTATCATTGATGAGAGGCTTAAATAGTATAGACATGGGTAGCCTAAATTACCCTTATTTACAATCATCTTAATTGTATCATCTATTAGAGAAAGTCATAATTTTCAACATGAATAACTATTTATTAAACTATTTGGAGATAGTAGAGTTATTAAAAATGATGACTTAGGGTACATATCCTTATATTAATAAGGGGGCAAGTTAACCATATAATTAAAAGTGATTATAATTTTATGATATTGGAATACTCCATTTGGATATAGGCTAACTTTATCAATCAAGAAATATGGTTACTATTGTTAAATTGATGTCAATGAGGAATAAGCTAACCAAGATTACTTGTATAAATAATCAATAGGACCAATGGGTGACATAGAGAGTTATCAACCATTTTCGGCCTATAATATCAACATATGAGTACCCATTAATCTATTAAGGGAGTAAATAATTGCTAATTTATCACAAATGGGTATTAAATCTTCATAGTGTAAATATCTCAAATGGCCATCTGATTATTGGTAGTTTAATTACCATTTTTATTATATCACCAAGTAATGTAATAATTAAAGTGATAATGAAGTATGATAGCATACTTATATGAATAACTTGAAGATACCCTAATGGATTCCATCGGGGTAAAGATGTTATATATCGGGTACATACTAATATTTCCCTACCTAACAATATGAGCTTTCCCGTATGATCGACCTTGTTTAATACCTATAGCTCAATTCATCTACATAGGGATAATCTATATGTAACATATTTGGTAAGTCCTATAACCTATAAGGAGATATAAAAGAGGTGTACTTATTGCCATATAATTCAGTATATGATAATATCAACCTATCAGACTTTAATTTGGTAATATAGGAGGATTACCCTAAATTTGACTAAACTCGTGTATTATAATGGAGCTAATCTTTTAGAGATATATCGGGTAATGGGTCAATTCAGTTATTTTACCTATTTAATGTCCCCCTAATATTATAGGGAAGAAAATGTTTCAATATATTAAATATTAGGAGTGGATAGTACCAATTTGTTCGGACCTTGTTTAGGCTAGCAGATAAATACGAGTCGGGATATCATGGTAATAATATTCTCTAAGGCCTTGGATAGTGGCCTTTGTATGTTATATTCTCACCTGATTTTGGTTAGGGAGGAATCAATATTGATAAAATAGTTGCCCATACTCCCAAATAGATGATTATAAGGACTTCCCCTAATTATGATGAAAAGTGGTGACATAATAAAGAGTCTCTTATATGTTTTCCATGTTTCTCAACCTCGTCTCTACTCTATTTATATATTAGGGTAGTACTCTAAAAGAATATAATCAATGTATCACCACTCTTATAGGTATATGGAACAATGAGGACCTTGGCTAAGGGTTTTATATGGTTGACTTAAATAATACCTAAATATACCTCGAATAAATGATAATATCATTTTCTAACTAGGGTAACTCGACTCTTTTGTATTTTGATTCAGTAGGGCATATCGTTACCATCTTAATCTTGGATGCTAGACAAAGGTACTTTGTTAGTAAGGACTATCATCCCAATAAGTGATGAAAATACTTATTGCCTTTTCTAAATAGCATATTAGTGCTAAAATATAATTTAATCCGAAATACTCTCTAGTGAGGTAGTGATAATATATCCTATTAGGACATATTTGGTTCACATATACTTCTATTTTAGGCTTGACCAAATCGTAGATTAATGAAGATCATTTGATGGTATATGGCATCCTAATATGCGCAAATTATATGGTCCTATTGGAATTTTAGTAGATTCCCAATCCTCGATCAACATCTCGAGTATTGCTAGGTGAAACACAATCACCATGGTGAGCTATAGGGACCATGTATAGAATATGGCTATAAGCCTTATATAGTTGGCCATTATTATGAATAGATAAGAGTACACGTCCCTATACCTATTATTAACCTTTAAAAGTGGGAACAATCTACCCATTTCATGTTAGTATTAACCCCTATTTACTTAATCATCCTAATAATCTGTGAATCCTAGGGTGAACTATATAGGTTATGATAGTTTTCACCCTATTTTGTTTAAGGTGGACAATATAACTCCTATTTATTTATGAGAAATTATATAGTATTGGTATATAATGAGTAGTCCATCACCAAATGTAAATAGAACCTTAAATTTAAAAAGAGCATATGATGAATATCAAGAATATCTCCATATAATGGTTTAACAAATTATAGTTGTCATTGTATTATAACTATTAGCCACTTCATTACTATTATACTTATATTCAATTGAGGATATCTTTTACTTGATATATGCATCAATATAATTAACTCCTAAGGAGATATCCTATTTATAAAATTAGGAAGGATTTATGGTAGAGATAAGTAAGGGTTATACTAATATATGGTGGCTAAAATATTTATTAGGGGGCCATTACGTCCTATCGAGTATGATAGCATTGAATTTAATTGATAAATCTAAAGACCATGATGCCAAATTATTGGAGTATTAATTAATGTGACAGAATACAAAGGATTAGATAACAGTATAGATGTTATTCAATTAATTTTAGTATCATCCATGCTTTGATATATTAACACATAAATAGTATGGATGATTATCTATATGAAGATAATACTTTAATCTAGGGTATAATAGTAAGTCAAACATTAGTTCACCTCTATGAGATTTTGATAACTCGATCATTATAAAATGGTATACCAAATGCTACTAACATTTAGCAAATATTTAATTATCTTATACCTAATACGAATATTGTGTCCGACTTACTATTACACTCTAGATTAAATAAGGCTTCACCATTATCATGTTTACTAGAGTAGACGCAAGGGTATATGAGAGTAATGGTTAGAAGAAAGGTATCCTAGGATAACTCATGCTAGAGGTCACGATAAAGGGTATATAATTATAGAACATCTAGGTAGTAAGGATAGTCCTTTATAATATTCTCTAGAGTCCTTAATAGATGATATAGCCTAACCTTAGAGAACATTGGGCACAATACTATCCATTTACTTAGCTATGTTCTACACAATATTACCCCACATATAAGTCACATAATATAATCAATTCTTGGTTTATAATTAGGAATTAACTATGACCCCTTACCCCATGTTATTTAATACATTATTTGACACACCCTGCACCAACTTTATATGACTTGATCATGAGAATAGTATAATTAGTATAATATTTTGAATAGTATACAATACAATCCTTCATTACCAGGAGGCTTACTTTATACTCATTAACTAGAAACATATTAAGAGGACTAATAGTGACCTTATCTTCTCCATAAGGACAATGATAATATTAATACTAGCATGAGTATTAACTTGGATTCAACCGCTTGATAGTCTCTCCAGTTAATGATTACGAAAGGTAATTCATAAACTTCCATAATATTATATAGAGATACAACAATATCCCAATTGACCATTCATAAGATCACCATAGTTTATAAGTAGGCTCTCGTAATTAAAATATTTTAGTTAGACATATGGACAATTATAAAAGGTTATCTGATTAATTTGTAGAGAAGCTATTATTACAATTCGAATAATTTCATAACTCATAAATATTATGCCTAATATATTGTATTAGGATATCTCTTTAGCCCCGACTAAAATGTTTTTAGTCATGACCGTGACTAATGACATGTTCCCTCCGTAATTAGTAAGGTATTCATAGGTATAAATTGGTAGTTTATAATTATGGGTATTAGTTATGCCCATAATTACATTGATATTCCAAATACTATCGGCTATACATAGTTTATTAGCCATTGTCACGCAATTTGAGTTTGAGTCTATATAGTCCATTATCAAAAGATAATTCGGTGATAGGTTACTATTAGACTGTAATCCGAGTAATATGAGAACAATATTCAAGTCATCTATAGTTAGAATAATAGGTAGTCCTAGGTACTTCACTATAATTATACTATGTTGCCAGTTCCTTATTAGGTATGAATATAAAACATTATGCTTTGTCTTTATAATGGGTAAAGACGTTTTAGATACACCATACTCATTATAATGTCAAGGATATGTAACATAATACTTGATATGAGGAAGAGAGGAAAATATTAATTTATAATATTTAGTCCATATATGAATTCCCCCAACCTAAAGTGATTACCATTCATTTACCTTTGATTTATTCTTATTTATGGTTGTAAATATCCTATGATACTATAAGTATCAAATATTGGCATATATATGATTATCCTTGATAAGTACCTTTGTATATTGAAGGCATAACTACCATATATTCCATCGAATACCATAATTTGAGGTAATATCCCGTCATGTTATATGATTAATCTGAGAACACTTTGATTAATGTAGATATGTGAGTTAGTAATCTATATTGATCCTATACCTAATATATGATATTTATAATAGACTAGAATCAGTAAAATATCCTCACTACATATCAGTGAGATACCATTTAATAGGTCCTTGAGATTGGTGATAAAATTAGCCTATATTCCATCGAATATCAACTATAAATTATAATACTCTACTATTAATAGACTAGTCGAGAAAATAGGTACCATAGGGAGTACTATGGTATACCCACTATTTTAGAGAATCCCTAATTGATGAGTGTCAATTATGGTCATGAGAGTATCCATGATATAATACTTAAGTCTAAAATTGTTAAATACTTGTCCATACATGGGACCATACATCCCTTTATTGGACCTACCAATATCCATAACGGAATTTCGGATTAAATGTTCTTGTGAATTGACATAGGCCTATTATTCTCATTATTTCCTTATATTAGAGAGTCTATTTAGTATTAAATTATAATACTCAAATAGAGTATATCATAACCATAGGTAACTATTAATTTGAGGATTAATACTATTATATTCCCTCTCTTGGTTTATAACCTATATTGTGGAACAACCTCTCTATATGATGTGTCACTATCTTGGGGAATAGAGAGGATTTATCAATTGTTTACATACATGATTTGTATTAATATACAGGGTATACTTATATTAGAGTATTAATGTTTGACTTACTAGGGGAGAATCCCAATTGCTAATCATACAAGCTCATGTTTTATCTCGGTATAATAATCTTGATAATTATGCCCTAATTATGTATTATCCTATCTTAACTATCTTGATAATCTTCTAGTAGGTTTGTATTTCACGAAAGGTTAAATATCTTGATAATCTTCTATACTAGCAACATTTTAAGTGGAGAAGTTAAGATAGGATAATACATAGTTAGGGCATAATTATCAAGATTATTATACCATGTTTCATATTTAGTTCCCCTATATGTGTCTAATCTAATTAGTTAATGTAATTGGACCATTACTTATAAAAAGAGTATTTTGATAATTATCAACTTTCCTATGTTAAATATATAATTAACCTAGGTAAAATTATATCCCCATTGATATTATAGAATAGGCTCCTAATAATATACGGACATGTATTCTTGATTCAATATACCATAAATAGATTAATTATAGCTCTTAATATCAAAACATTATGTTCCCTATTGGGTATGATATGGGACCATATATCCCATGATCACCTAGGAGATATTGGTAGTTAAAATATACTCTACTTATCACTAGTAGTTCATAATTAAGGGTATTAGTAGACAATATATTTAGGGAAACCTTAGGGATGCTTAATATACAAAACTATTGTTATCACCTAGTTCTCATTTAGTTATGATGGTTAAATTGTATAATCATAGGACATTACTAAAATATACTCCTATCAATGGAGACCATATAATATTATGGCCAATACTTATATGTGTTATCAACCCTATTAGCCATAACACCCTTCCTCATGGGATAACTAAAGGGACTATGTTATCAGCTTAAATATGGCCCATCTATGAGTATAATAGTGTTATCTAAATATGTATATCCATTATTGATATCATATTATTAGGATATATCATATAAATGGAATAGCATTTATGTGTTATATACTATTTATCATATCTAATAATTTCATTATTACTTGTTTGGTACTATTCTTTTCACTAATGATGTCATATCCCTATGGAGCCTTGTATAAAATTAATATGATGGTCAACTCTTATTGGGATGAATATATGGTAATAATTTTGTATCAATATAGGTCCATAGAGAGTTGTCCAGAATGACCATTTTAGGGACCGATAGTGTTATAACTAGGTAAGCATCACCCTTAAGCTAAGCAGGTATATCTCTTTGCTCTAACATATTTTGATTATAAGTTATGGTTAGAAATATATACTAGTATAAAATTATAGGTTAACCATATGGTTGTTATCTATAAGATAAACTTCATATAAAGGGGCATTTTCCATTATGGGTATTAGTACTTCACACCCGATTAAGTTGTGAAATTAACATAATACCATATATTGTTTTCTTCTAGTTATAATTGACTAAGATTGCTATGGATTATATAATTGGATATATCAGCAAACGACTATATACCATTATGGTGTCATATAGAGTGAACTTCTAATTCATTTTAAAACTATAAGATTAACGTTTATTAAGTTATTTAAAGGTTAAAATGTCATCTTAATATATTCCTTTTTAGAGAGATTGGTCCAACTTAAGGGTAACCAAGGGATACAAACGATCCCAGCTTATTATGACAACCAATTCCCAAATTTAGACTATGGTATAAAGCTATAATCATATCCCGTTATTGGATTGTTATAGCTATGGTTAAAGAGTTTTGAGGACTCTATAACAAGTAAATACCCTATGATAGCTAAATGGAGGCATACCTTATGTATGGTGGGTATTATGTTGGTATATATATAGACCTTGTTTACTAATAGGGATTAGTAATCCCTAACATAACCTTAGACTAATGGATAGTAGGATACATTCATAAAGTATAAAATTCTAACTTGATAAATATTGTAAGTTATTATACCTCCTAAACCATAGGTAGTACTAAATATATACTTATCATATAGAGTACACAATTAATTATACTCATCTTAGTGGATAGGTTAACAATACTATCATCTTAACCATACTAATTATGGTTATTATCTTAAATTACTATGGGGTAATTTAACTCATAATATGCCCCTAATATCGAGGGAATGGTATAATTAAACTCTATGAAATATATACATATATTATAGCTAGATATATCTATATAAATTTTCCTATGAACAAACAAAGGTTATTAATTTTGATTAGGCCTCACCTAATTAACGGTCAGGCAAATAAGGTAACAATACCCTATATGAGATATTCAATTAATATCTCTTCAAGAGTAGGGGATATCCCCATTATATACAAATTATATTAGTGTTGACCTAAGGGGTTATGATATTGTATTACTAATATCATTATTAATATATTAAGGCTATCTGAGGGGTAGCCATTTGATAAAACCAATATAAAAATATTGGCGAGGGATGACTAATATAATTTGTAGTCATTAGTAAATTATCTCATCAAAATCTATCATCTAGTTAGGTGGACCTTGGTTCTTTTCTCCATTTATTTTAGGTGATAAATATTACTTAAATTATGTATAGCCTAAACTTAAAGTAAATTCTGAGTATCCGTCTCACCATTACTATACGATCATCCTTTTCTCCCTCCCTCTTTATCAAGCCCATTATTTGCTTGTGATAATAAGGCCATTAGCTATTTTATTTCGTAAAACAAAACAACTAATGATATGGAATAATAAAAGCCATTATAGTGAGGGATATAACAATAACTATTAAATCATAGTATGGTCATCCTTAGGTTACTACTATTAGTAGGGTCCCTCTCTAATAGCATACACTATTATACTATAATTAATGATTAAATTACTAGGGAATAATTTAGGGATAATCCTCTTACTCTAGTATACAGCTATATAAGACCGATTAATGTACATTATCAATAGGGAATAATATATCATTCCCTTGCATATTATTAGCATTTAGAGAATGAACCTTCTTATGATGGTATAAGAAACTTTATTAGGATTTGTTCTATTATCCGATAAGATAATATGATCCATAAGACATACAAGTTACTATCATTCCATGAGTTATAAATCTGAATAATCAAATAGGTCTCAAACACATAATGATTAAACACATTGCTAATATAGACAGATCCCTATCCATTGATTACTTTTAACTAGAATTTATTATGTCCCATGTTTTATCCCATAATAATACTATCTAGGATATATCCCACTAAATGTAGTTAACATATTAGCATGTTGAGTTAGAACCATAAGATATTAAATCACTCAAGGATATAGACTGTGGTATTTTACCTAATTGGACTAGTGTTATATATCCGTCAATATGGGCCATAATATTTGTCATGATATATGTAACCATAGAGTACATTAATGATATTATCTAATAATTAGACTCCTATAAATTAGGGTAATGATGGTAACCATAAATATCAATTGGCATGGACATATCGACTATAGTCTCCCTTACTTATCATGCCCACTTATAATTATTTTGAGATAATATCATTTTCTAACTGGGTAGTGCTCATAAACCTACCGGAGTTATAATTTAGTCATTTATCTCTTGATAGGGTAAACAATAACATATGTGCCTAAGTAGTATTATATTTCTCTTGGTTATATAGTTGACAAGGAAGGGTCTCTAGAACGATAAAGTTAGCCCAATAACTTTATATGGTGGGATAAATAATTATTGTAATAATATATTATAGTAAAATTTTTGATTATCCATGGTTAATCCCTTAAGTTATCCTTATTTCTTAATTTGAGGAACAATATAATAGTTATAATTATCACGACAGAGAGTGTTACCTTATTAGTGGGCTATTATAGGTATTGTTATATTAAACCCAATCTAAGGTTATACACATTAACTATCAATATACTTAAATATTAATATTAAAAGGATCCCATCATATTGGGAACTAACCTTAGATTGGGAATTAAGTTATAGGTCAATTGATAGTCATTACAGCCATATATCTATAATATTACCAATAATATGGAGGGATCTCTATAATCTATTACCCATATAGTCACTAGTAATTCATACCTAAGCTATGATTTAGGTAGGTTAATGGGCACTCGTTAAGTTATCTAATACTCTAGAGGTAGTAACTACAATAATTGGCTCCCTTATCGATTACATGGTCAACCCATAAAGTAGCTATAATAGACTCACATTAATAAATTGCATGTTTGAATACCAAGTGAATCTGTACACTTACCATTGATGACAACATTATAAATTAAGATATATAAAGTCCTAGTTATTTTGAAATAATTGTAACTTAGTATCCCCGTTGATCCTATACATGGGCATTCTCTATAAAAGGCCCATACTATTAATGATAGGAAATGTAATCCTTAACTAGGAGAGAGGGGAATGAGGTTTAAATAATATTTTACTCATTAGAGATAACTCAGTATCAATCTGTTATGGATATAATTACTATTAGAAGAGGGTAAGACATTAAGGCTTATAGGTTAAAACGTATGGTTACTTCAAGATGGGAGTTAATTAGAAACCCACATAATTAAAGTTAACATATCACCAAAGGGATTAATCAATAATTGTTGATTGGATACATCCTAGTAGATAATAATGTATCAAATGGATAACCCAAAATGATATATGTTATATAGTTATATAGTAATGTTATCCATCTTGGATAGATTATCCTGTTCCTTACCAGGAGGCTTATTATTAATAAAATAATATTTTTAATTGTAGTGCCTAAGATAGCCTTACTGCGAGACATGGATATACAAGCGAAACATAAGGATAATATGATTATCTTTTTGGAAGAAATAAGGGTAACTATAAGGGATAATTGTTCCTTGAGAACCTCTAAGGTATGTAAGTAGGGTAATGAGTCCGATACATCTCTTATAACTATCTTGGGAATTCTATAAGCTATCGCAAAATATAATTAGCCCATATTTAAAATATGCTATTCCTCCTAATGAGGTTAAAATGGAGGGATTTCTCGAAGGATCACTCTATAGTTTATTAGGAATAGATTATCCTAATAAATCCATCCCACTTGGGTTTACTATTATACCTATGTTTCACGGATAATAATCTTATTAATATGGTTACTAATATTATAATTATATGGCTATTACTTTAACTAATAGTGTATTATAACACTATTAGCTATAATTAACATTAGCTTAAGTAGATAATGGTACTTGATGTTCCATATTATTGTAATAAATCTCGTCCTAATAGATGTCCTATTGATACATCCTAGGTCGACAATAGGAGTTATCATTATACCATCCCTATTAATTTGGGATAGGGACATCAATTAGTAATGCCTAATATACTAATGGTTCTTGATACTAAACGCCTAATATATCATATGAGACCAATACACCATTAGCCTATTAGAAATCCTATGATACATTAATAGGATATAATTACTAGATAATTTATAAGTATTAACATATTACACCAAATATACTATTAATCCTCATTATGTTAATGATAGTATTGGGAAAATTAGCCTCATCCGGTTCAATCACTCCGACCTAGGTTCTTATATATATCTAAATTGGTTAACTATAATTCATGATAATTATAAGATTAATACACTCTATAAGGTATAATGGATGATCATAATGTATTAATATACATCTTTATGAGGATTATTGATATTATAGAGTAGGGGAAGTAGGATCAATATATTGTAGGGTCACCACTATTAGTATACCTAACCTTGTCTTGGGTTAATACCTAATATATCCAACATGATTTATCCATGAGCATGGCCTCATTTGATCCTAGCATAACTATGGGAAAGGTTACCCATGGTCCCACATAATAGTCATCGGTAGTATACTTGTCATTAGTTAATATAGTTAGTTAATATGGAACGATTGCTATAGTGATTGAACCATACTCTTGTGATTAATCTTATTGCCCAAGGGACTCTAACAATGGATTAGTATAGCCACTATAATATTTGGTTATTCATGGCACGCAATCAATTAATTGTATAAAGTATTACCTTTTTTTCTCTACTAATACCTCCTAATGTGAGTGATCATACATTCATAAAAGTCGATTATTCTCCCATTAATAGTTAAGGGCAATACTATTAATAGCTATATCATATAATGTAAGGTCCTCCTAAACCATAGGTAGTACTTAAATTTGAAATAAGTGGCCATAATATAAGTATCAATATGATTTACTATTAATAGTATTACTCATTATCAATAGAGTAATGACCTAATATTTATAACTATCCCTTAAGTTTAATCAAAGTATGTTTCTATTTAACTATCAATATATCGATTGATTAATAACTACTATGGTATTATTAAGTATTTTTTATCCCTATTAATATTAATGATTAGCCATGTTCATCTCCTCTTTTAGTATCATTAAACAATTGTCTTCAAGTTATTCATATAATTACCATTATCACAATGGGTCTTCAACCTAAAGTATGATATAATCTAGATAAGCCATAATTCAGCCATTTTATCTTATTAATACCTAATATTGAGCATCAATAACCAACTAAGGCCCATTAGTATATTTGCTCTAATACCTCATTAGCCATATCTCAGTTTAACAAATATTATAATGTCTATGCATTAACATGGTTAGTTATCAAGGAAATTGCATCATGATCCTCAACACTTTAATAGTTATTAGGGCCCACGAACATTAGGATGATAAGGTATAACCAATATATAGCCAATCAGGTACCTTTTACGGTGAGAAATATTCATCCTCATGAAGTATTATAGTCAATTAGGTAACTTATAATATACCTATGGTTCACCCCGATTGAGGATGATACCACCTGGTTATATTATATAATTATGGGGAGATAGCTCATCCTAATATTATATAGTTTTCTCACACTAGTATTTTTCCCCATAAATCTATGGACACGTTAGTTGGGTAGCCAATCAAATTATACTTATATTATTATCATTTCTAACGTCTATGTACTAAATGTCCCTCGTATTAAGTAGCTTGATATGCTATAGGATAGGGCTATTGATAATAATATAAGTATACCATTGTTAAACTATTACAATGAGGCACTAATATATTAGACTATATTAAAATATATATTTATCCCAAAAATATCGACATTTTTATGCACTCTATATGACCAGGCTCTACATAGTGAATGTACATTTTGGCAATGTGACTATTTTGATGAATAATTGCACTCCCTCATCATTTTAATCAACCTCTATTAGTGCCTCATTGTAGAATGAATGAGTCCCATTGTTATATAAATGTACTCTCCATGGGATTATATAATGTAGCTTCCTATATTGGTTTACCTTATTAGAGCCTCATTGGAATAGTTATGGAATCACAGAAATTTAGTATAGGTTGCCATAGATTATAACAAAATTTCAGAATGCCAACTTAATATGTAGTTTAAGGATATCTAATTTGCAATGGTTTACATCATTAGGTTCATAGTAAAGAAGGAGATATGTGAATTATCATATTGGATGATATATTGGGATAATATATGTCAATCAACTCTCCATAGAAAGAATAGGCCTTTTTCTATACCCTCTTACTAATCTCCGTTTAAGCATAAAATCCTAGATATTTATCCCTCACTCCCCCATTTCCTTCCATCAATTAGGCTCCTAGAAGAACAAACATGTTATATTACCCGATTAAGATAAAGAATCAATTGGACTATACTATATTACCATGTTCTAGTACACTTTCCATTAATTATAGGGAACTATTATCTAATTTTAGATATACCTCATACGTAATCAACAATGAGGCCAACTAAATACACATCAATATTATTCTATTCCATTAGTAACATTCTATCAAAATATACAATTATTTTGACGTTATCCCTTTCTATTACTCCTAATATTGGTATTCGTATAGAAAAATAATAGTGTATGGTCATAAAATATGTAATTCTATTAATTAAAATTTATTAGAAAGGGATAAATATTTTCATGGATACACCTTTACCTTTCTCTAACAATTAGGCTCATTCGATAGAATGTTACTCCTTAATTGTGAATTATCATTTCTCAATCAGGTAGTATATGTTCACTTCTTTATGTTCAACATAAATTAGTTCATAGCAATGTTATTACACTTTCTAATTATATTCGTTACTTTTAGGTATACTTGATATTATAGGTTATTAGCTAATTCTATGAGTTAATCCATTGGTAATAATATTACATAAATTGACTAATATTATAGAAACGTTAAATATGAAAAGAGCCTATTCAATTACCAATGTTCTTAGCTAAAGCCTAGAAATGGGGACATAATATCATTAACAAAATTTGACCCATCCTAAATGATTAAATAACTCCTCGCTAACTTAGCTTTGGGGTAGAGAATACACCCTGGACTTCACTAAATAAGCCATTGATAATAGCTTATTTCTTTAACATTCCCGATAAATAAAACAACTAATAAAATTACCCCTAATTAGGGAGAATATCATAGGCTCATAGATTTGAGTGAATATTATTAAAATATTAGCAATATTTAACTATAATGCAAGGGACTCTCAATTAGCTATAATCATCAAACTAAATTAACTCATCTCTCATGAAGTTTGTATTATATTAATGATTAAAATGAGAATTTCGTGGGGAGAGAGATTATAACCATGAAAAAGGTTAATATCCTCCAAAGTGGCTCATAACTAATAATTATTACTTAAAAAGTTATATGCTTATCAAATCATAGACTTTCATATGCATACATAGATATTAGTTGGTAATAAGTTCCCGGGGGAGAGGTTAGAATAAGGATTAATTTAATTGATTACATGTTGATATAGGCTAGTGACTAATATGAAAAAGCTACATGGATCCTAAATTAAGAGATACATAATCTATAACTATACCATGCTAATTGTATTATCAATCAAACAAAGTCAACTCCTATTTGATAGTTAGGGGATTAATGGACACAGTTGAGTTAACACTCATCACATAAAGAGTGGGGTTAATACATTTCAAAAGAATTTATATCATCCATGCTTTGATATATTAATCCTCCGAGTGCATAATTCATATATTGGTTAAATATAAATTGATAGATATATAAAGTAAGGGAACGGTATATTATAACCCGACTTATAATAGTACAAACACATTCATAGAGTAACATAAAAAGAGTAGTTCAAATCCATTACTTAGATGTTCACTCCAAGAATAGGTATTGATTCCCTTTTAAGATGGAGGGAGAATAATATAGGGATTTAAATGTTATAAAGGATGATTATTTATAATATATGATCAGTAAGCCCCACTTTGTTTTAGCTTAGTTGAACTTTTATTAATGGGGAGTGATAACAATACATGGAGATTAGAGTGAACATCTTGGAGGTAATTCTCTTACTAGGGAAAGTCGATAATATAACCTTTTATAGTTAGGGGAAATACCACTTACCAATGGATAAATAATGATAATTGGTTATTTATACTAGCAATTATGAATATTAATCTGTTAAGTAATATCTAATGGTCATTTATAAATGAATGATCACTCACGGTAGGTGATCTCTCAAATAAGAGTAAGGGTTATTCCCTCCGCCAATAGTTTCCTAGTTACTATTCATTTATGGTGAGAATAATATTAACATCATTATAAGCATATTAATCCATAAGAACATGCATATTAAGTTGAATGTTCAACTATTAGCCTAACGTGAGGAAATATAAACTATTGGTTAAATATAACATGGATTGATTCACCTTTTATTTTAAAAGGGTATTGATTCAGCTAAATATATTTACTCAATTTAGTCTCTATTTTGTATAATTTGTTTAATTAACTATCAAATAAGAAACTATTCATTGGATATATTTAATCTTTAATAAGGTAGAATGATTAAACCTCAAGTTATGGAACATAGGTAATTGGCCTACCATTTAAGCTAAGAGGTTATTTATGCTTAGACTACCCTATAGGGTATCTTACACATTATAATTTACTAATTATCTCGCTCGTTCATTCCTTTGTAACATACTTATGTACTCCCTAGTTGTCTATTAAAATACACCGGGGATAACCTAAGCATGGTAGGATAATTCGATGAGTAGGTTATAAAGGTTAACAAATATAGGTATAAATTAAAGGAGGATTATTCCCGGGTAAAGGTATCCATTGACCATTGTAGAGATTATATGTCTAATAATATTTCCTTATGAATTCCTCATAACCTTTTATAGTGACATACCGTTATGTTATATATACCTTAGTTAATTGATTACCAAATATACTAAGTCAATGAGTGCCTCCCAAAGCGATCTTAGGCGGTGTGAAATAGTATCGTACAATTATATGAACGGGTGTATTATGATACTCCGGGATACCGATTACCAATGGATAAATAACAATAATTGGTTATTTATACTACCAATTATGCCTATTAAGTAATATCTAATGGTCATTTATAAATGTATGATCACTCACAGTAGGTGATCTCTTAAATAAGAGTAAGGGTTACTCTTTACGGCCGAGTAATGTACTCTATTTTGAGTTCAAAGAT